CCCCCCACCCTCTCGACTTTTTTTCAATTTGATGTTCCATCTCTTCTGTGAAGCCTGAAGTCAACTAAAAAGCTAATGATAACTATCAAAACGCCTGCCACTTGATATAAATACTTTTGTGACCGCAACACCCAAGTTGCATTAAATTACAGACCAGCATTGGCTACAACGAAGAAAATAAGCATAAAGTTTGAGGTTTGAAATATGAGTCACCCATTTGAAAATATGCTATGAACCGGCAATCGAGAACAGCTTATCTTAAAGTACTCTACGTATTTTTTTGATTTGTGAAATTTGTGTCAACTTTGGCGTGCGATAGACTTACCTCTACGTGGTGCACCATGGACAACGAATACTCATACGGCAAAAAAGTCTATAAACCGGCAGTTGACTTATCACTTTCATACGGCAAAAAAGTCTATAAACCGGCAGTTGACTTCTTATATTAAAATATCATGACCCGACTCTATGTCATTCTCAACCCCTTTTTCTCTACTATTGTGTCTGTCTCACATCTGCGAATCACTCTTCTGTCCCCCACCCTTCGACTTTTTGTGACTTTGATGTTCCTCTCCCTTTGTGAAACCCAAAGTCAACTAAAGGACTAATGATAGCTATCATAAAGCTTGTCATTTGATATAAATAAATATCATTGGTATAACCTGTACCTCGAATTTGGAATTATGTGATGTAATTAAATGTAGTAAAAATAAAATACCCGTGGCTGCAATTCTCCTGAAGGACGCCGATGATGGTCTGCTACGTCTCGCCATATTAAATATTTGATTTTTGAGTTTATTTTCTTTTTACTTTTACAAATTATTATCATCGTGCGCATTATCGTGATTAATAATGGGGAAATTTTAATTATAAAAGAATAATTTCTGAATTCCAACATTTTTGTAATTAAAACGCCTGCAGCAATTAGGAAAATATTATTCTTACCCTTTTAGTTATATATAGGAAAATGCAAAATAGCAAATTAAACAATATTATTGTATAAGCATGCTCGTGATGTTTTTATTTCCAAATTTTTAGCGTAATAAAAGAATATTATTGTTTTCAGATTAAGTCAAATATATAATCTTTCGTAGTGCGCGTGCGTTCGAAAAGTACTATATAAAGTACTTGAAAGTATAATATCAAATTCAAATCAAACCAAACAAAACTCGACTTATTCTCAGTAATCTCTATAGCAGATTTTTCCAGCTGGAAAGGCTTCCGAACTTGAACTATCGTAATGGAATAGAGGAGGAAGACGTCTAGGGAGTGAAGTAGTTATTAACATTATGATAACAGTAAACGCGATTGTTTATCACATACATTAAGCAAAATTTTAATGGGCATAAACAATCACCATCTGAGCAGTGCTCTCAAGAATGTTTGGATGAACAATTTAATCGTGTGAGGATTGCGCACTCCACAAGCTTAAAAACCACAACCTAAAAGGTTCCATATGCAATCAAATTGACGAGAAAATTCGCACTTAAGAAGAGTTGCAATATATTGCCAAAATTTTAAAATTATAAAGAAATTCCCAGTACTTTCAGAGTTAAAGCGAATTTTCAAATCAAGTACCATCATAACTTTTTGTTTGCTTAAATATTGATTTTAATAAGTCGCATTACGCTAATTAATAAATAAAAACTATTTTTGAATACTTTAGTAATGCATTTCATTTAAAATCCCTGACGATGTATTTGAGAAATATAAATTTTCGATGAGTGTAAACTTAAGTGCCTTAATTAAGTCTGACAGAATAATATTTTGCGATGAGAATCCAATCATACAAAGATCATTGTTGCAGTAGCCACATTTTGTCTCAAGATGATTAATCCTCAAAGCTTTTAGCATATATGCTCTTTTTCCTCAAACGTGAACGGGCACTCATCAAATAGGACTGCATAGCAAATACTTGGAAGTATATCTGTTAACATTGCGATGCTATTTTGGTGTTATAATCCAAAGAAACATATGGTGATATATTTATATCAACTCTCGCAATAATGCCAACGTAATGCTGTATTGGGGCATATTTTCAACGAGAAATTTGGAAATAACAAATCTGACTTAAATGTATATCAGCATTTAATGAGATTTATCATCGTAGATGTGGGACACTTCATTTCCCAACAAGCAATCGCATATGAGCTCAGCCAATGGCCAATCAAAAGCCCTAGTTTCTTTTATCTATTCTGCCATATTGATTCCGGCATGTAAACTTTTACACGCTAAACTTCCTAGATAAACTTGTTCCATGCGATTCGTCTGTTTCCTCTCTAGCTGGGCTGTAGCTTAGCTAGTTCTGGGAGTATTGCCAGACATAGGAGAGTCTGCCACAGAGATTTCTGAGTTAGTCAAGTCTTTTCTAAAAATACATCCTTGTATAAAAGCGCCAAAAGCTTATGTCTTAAAATAAAGGTTCAAATAAAATTGGAAGAAATTTAAAATCTTCCCAATGGACTTATACATTAGTTCTATTTGCCAATTATTATTATTCGAATTAAAAGTTCAAATTCAGATATTTTATCAAAAAGAAATTAGCATTTTGGATGCACCGAAATCACCTTTTCATCATGAGGAAGAAAAAATTAAATTGACCTAAATGGTTAATAACTCAATTAAACAGCTGTTAAATAAACTCCGAGATAATGTGAGCATTATTGCAATTCGAAAAATGTTACTCATTAAGGTAACGAAAGACATTCTAATTAATGAGAACTTTACATGAACCGAGACTCTTTTGATGTTATCACTTTGATCAATTATTTCATTAATTACATTTTTCATTACCTATTTTAATGTTACTCTAGCTCAAATTCTTTATCTTGTTTGAAAATTGAAAAGGTCCGGGCTTCGGAGTGAATTGTAGTAAAATAATTAGGCAATAAAACCTCTCTCTCAAGTTGTTTCACCTTTTGAAACACTCACCTCTAGATCGTAAAATCCTTAGAGCTGTAGAAAAGCCTCACTAAATAAGTTGATAGTGAAGATATTAAATAGAAATTACTTTACAGAAAATAAACTCTCTCTCTCTCACCATCAAATTCGCAGATCATAATAACGGTACCAATTTATGCATACAAAATTTTGAAAAAAAATAAGGCTAAGATATGCCGTCCGAAGTCGCAAATAAAAATGCGAATTTCAGAAAGAGAGCTAATTCTGTGGTTCATTTACGGTTATTTTTCAAATAACCAATGGCGAGAAATATAGGGCACGCGCAATTTTAGAAATATTCCGGTACAATTTTTTACTAAAGTCAAATTTTCTTTAAAAAGCAAGCACTCACTGATGGATTTATTATAATATCATTTCTTGAATGTCAAGCTAAATTGGAAAATGAGTCGTGGTCGCAATTGAGGCACATACTAGACTCTTTGGGACACCAAGTAAGTAAACAAGCAAAATTCAAAAAAATTGACATCAAAATATGTACCCGACAATCCTAAATACAAGATTGATTTAGATGTCATAGGTATCCCTAAGGCTAGGTATGCAATTTTATTCATAAAAATTGCCTATTTTAAGGGATACTTGTCCGTTTCACAGCATTCCTGCATATTTCTCAATTAATACCTTCCTGATTAACATTTTTCGAAAACCGCGGGTAACCATTTCCCAGATAATTATCTCCGTATGAGCCTCAAAATTCCCAAATTTTGTTTGAAAATTAATGATCATCAGATCATATGGACATAATTAAGAAATGATTGATTGAAAAGAAGTAAACTGACTCAAAATTGTTGCTTTGTCTCGAGATAAACAAATGTCATTGTCTTTAGCGGCGTGGGAGGCAATGGACGACTAAATGTCTTATTGATATACTAACCTGTCTTTTTTATCAAGTCCTTGTTTAGATAGGGAAGAGTCTTATATTAATCGCCCATTTGCCAACTCTCGTTTTAAGGCTTGAATTCTAGATGTATTTATAAGATACTGAGCATGCAAATAGTATTTGCCCACGTTATAGAGGCAAATGTGAAGTCTTAAATGGTTGACTTCGTTTATAAGGGATCGGAACTCCACGAATATATCCAGGAATCACAATTGTGATTAAAGCATTTTCCGATTGGATTCCTGTTGTTCAAAAGCCGAACACTTAAAAACCCAAAAAACCATATAGCAATAAATTCTTAATTAATTGAATCTCATTCAATTAGGATTTGGAAAATATTAATGCTAAGCCAAAAGGTATAAATAACTGAGTTATCTTTTAAACAACGATCGTTATAAAGCAAAACACTACTAACACGAAGCTTGTGGAATTCACGTCAAGTGAATTTATATTGCAATGGTTGTATTACCAGCTGAGGATTATATGTTTGGTCCCATTCACTAAGTTTCTTAAAGTATTCATCTTCATCGCTTGAAAACATAAACGCCTGCTTTTCATATGATACCAAATCTCGCCGAACGGAATCTTGCAAGATGTAGCTTTCAAAGTAACTCTTTTTAGAGCAAACGCCATTACGCCTAAAAGAGCAGCAACATAATTGATAAACCTCCAAACTTACACTATCTCAATGAGCGCATTTCTTCTCGGTTCATCATATTCCGCTCTCCACGATGGAACACCTTTAATAACAAACTCGAGTCCATATCCTCTAATAATATTCTTTACAGGATTGCATAGGTCACAATATCTATCGAAGCACTTCCTCCAATGAGTCAACAGGAAAGTGGAAATTCTGCAGCGATGAATGTTACAATATATATCGTGACATATGAGTATGTGTTCAACCAGTATTTTTCTAAGTTTGCAATCCGGATGATCGCAATTAGATAGACATAAAGGCATAGTTGGGCAGTTTTGTAAGTGCAGCAAAATTATCAGACTTCGTTGTAAAAATTCTATTATTTCTTTATTGAAGGCATTTTTTCGAAAGCGTCCAGGACATGTATACATTGGCGTTCTGATTAAACTCGAAAACATCACTGAAAGAGAAAAAATATACTGCACATTAAACAAACTTTTTAACACACACTTAGAAAACGTCAACCGCACGTAAATCCACCTTCAAAGATATGAAATTTTATTGCAGATATTTAAATGAGTGGTTTTCAACTAAATGTTGAAACGTATGTGATTTGATTTCAAAATAGGGAAAAAGGATCAAATTTTTCCCATTTCGCTAGAACTTTAAGACTGAGAAGAATTTACTTCGGAGTGATATTCAAGGTTAATTAAATTTTAACCTCATATGATCAGAGCAATTAATGTAAGGGATGGTAAAAATTCATGAAAAATTGTAAGTGCCCACATTGCCTATAGATGTAAAAAGCTCAATAGACCATTCTTGAGAGCTAGATAAAACATTGACATCAAGAGAACTAGACATAAAGGAATGTTTGTAGCCAATGAAATCGGGAACGCATACATTATTATTTTTGTTTAGCATTACATTTTAGTGCAGAAAGAGGGTAGATGTAAAATACAGTGATTCAAAGCTTCCATGGTCACAGCGTCTGTACCAAAAATTGTAAAATACATTGCCTACTGATAAAGAGACATTTAAATTATTGAATTAGATATATTAATCAAAAACCATTAAAATTATTGAATTTAAAATTACCATTCAAAACAACAATCATGCCTGGTTGTGACAAGATTGAAAGCTTCTGTTTTCCAATTATTTTCATATAGGTAAAATCAAAATTTTAAACAGTCTTTCTATTTTCCTTAATAAGATTAATTTAAGCATAAATTTAAGTTCTTCTCAATGCACTATTACACAGGAAGCGGTAACTCTTCAAGTATGCCCCACCTTATTTATTATCCTTCTCTTTAAAGAGCCATATTAAATCAAATGGTTTCGGCAAATCAGCTTTTCCCTGAATAGTAAAGGCACTTGACTAGAATGGTGCTTGAATAAATAAGATAAAATTATATAAGGTATCTCAACATCCTCCGCGATCAAAAATCTCAAAAAGAATCAGAGCAAGATAAGGAACTATTGTGCTATTTAAAACTTAATGAAAACTGTTACTTATTTCCTATCGAGACAATATTTTAAAACTCGCGAGAAAACAATAAGCCCAGGGTATGGTTTTTTCACAATTTGCACAGGTTCATCTCTTTTTAGTCAAATTTATAATTTATTTCTGCCATTTTTCTTGAGTTCTAATTTGGTGATTTCTGGAAATAAAAGAGTGATGATTTTGGCTTCTTGAATGAGTTGTTGGGGATTTTCTACTTCTACTATTCTTATGCATTACATATATTCACCTAATATTATTGTATAAGTTCTAAACTTCGAAGAGACACTAAGCATATCTCATATTGAATTCCTCTTGAAGTTCTTCAGAACAGGTTAGCAGTTTTGATAACTCATGTATTCACAGATTAAATAGTCTGTTAATAGATATCAAGAATTAGGAAAGTGATAAATAGGCAGTAAACAGCCATGAATTATCATAAGCAGAACATGATGTTATATCAGTCAAACTACACTTGAAAATTTAAACAGACAAAATATCCCCAAATTATAATCTTCTAGAGAATTGATCTTGTTTATTTAATTAATAAATCGCCGTTAAGTACAATCGATTCCTTCAATGGAAATCTTTTTTAAAAGCATGTTGCTGAAAATTATATGAGGGTAATGTGTACTGAAGACTATACATTGAGGAGTGATTTATTTGCGAGTTTGGGGATAACACACAACCCCCCCCCCCACTCTCCCGGCTAACCCATACATGACTCAGTCTCCTCATCTACGACAAAAATGTGATCTCTTCCCAATTAGCTCACTACTCATTTTATTTATTGCCATGATTGTGGAAAAGAATTCGATATCTGGTCTAACGCAAAAAAGTATACTGTGGTGACCTGCAGCTTGCATGACACCAGCATATATTAATGCGTTACTAAGGTCATGTCAGGATAGCTGTATAATAAATTGTTCGTTAGGACCCACCGACAATAGCACTTGAGAACAAGAGGTGTAAGGTTTTGTAATGGGGCATGATTGTTAATCTTAGATTGTGTCCAGACAGTTCCACGCTATGTCAATACTTAACTCGGTGAAATTTATTTTGGAAATGCCTTTCAAAGGAGAAAAGCTGACTTTTCGGTGTGCTATAAACTGGTACTACTCATCATCTTCTGTTCCACGATGTTGAAACTCAGCTTTCTCAAATTCCTGGGAAAAAATGCACAACTATTCAATGAAATCCATGGTATAATCGGAATTTCAAAGACAAAACAGCCAACAATATTTATTTCTGTCTATACAGTGAAAATCCCTGTATCAATGAATCTGAGAGTATGTGATAGAGTTAGATGCTGTCAACTGCATGCGAATATTTGCAGAAAAGATGGTAATATTTTTCCTCTTCCAACTAGATCACTATTTCTCAGTCACGCAAATCACTAAGGCTTCAATTGTCAACCTTTGGTTGCTTTAAGTCGAAAACATGGATACGGTTTACTGTGAAGCACGATACATCTGAATTTAACACCCACTATTGGCATGAGATTCTTTGTCATCTAAAGGGTTCTTGAGAAAGAAACAAAACTCGCAATAGAATAAGCAAAATGCTGAAACTTATAGACTAAATTCTTCTGCGTTTCACAAATTAAGCAGTGCAGCACCACCTAGTTCAAATAGCGTACTTTTTTATGACTTTATAGAAAAATTAAGGGGATTATTATTGTGTCCTTGTATGTAATGCATCATCTTCCCTAGTCACCAGAATGTGTGAATGCCACCTACACAAACGGGTTTGCTTGAAATGAATCAAAACCGATTGCAGACTTTTGCAAAGTGACTCTTCCATTTTAAACCAGGCACCCAATATAATTAAGTATTTTTATTCTGAAATCGGTCACTTTAAGGGATATCACAGTAGTTTAGTAGACAAGTTTAAATTTAATAGGTCAGAGTGTAGAGTTGTATTTAGATGAAGTTATTAGTAAACCAATCCCAGTTGGATAAAAAATGCAATCTAAAAATCATTATTTTGGATTATTTTGCTGATTCTAACATTGAGTGAAAAAAGTGAATTTAAGAAGCAAGAAAAATCTTCCTGTTTAAAACGGTCAATTAGCCTCGATCGAGGGAACAAACTGTACAATTTGAATTCCGTTTCTCGGGTCGACCATTTTGTAATCCCTGTTCACCTCAAATTAAGAAATAAATGGCGGAAGGCTATTTAATACTGTGTTTTTGTTGCAACATCTTTTGCTAGTTTACTATCAATCGCAATCGAAAATTGTACTTTTTTATTGCTATGGATAGTGATAATAGATTTTACTTATTTTTTAACCTTCACTGTCTTTGAAAAACGTCTAAATCTATTAAAGTCATTTAATATTTGAATTTATATGATATTCGTGTTTTCAAAATATTTTTTAAAGACTATGGACGTAAACTTTTGAAAATTTCTGTCAAGAACCTTGCACTTGGCAAAAGCAGGCAAAATAACACTTCAACGAGCCATTTAGAATGCAGGCTGGAAGTTTGTTTGAGCTTTAAATAAATAACCATAATGACCAGTGGCCACCGTTCTGCTGATTTGTCTTACTCCAACTTAATGTCCCATTAACTTTGAACAACAAGGTCAACTGGTTCCTCCTAAATATAGACATCAATTTCGTGCTCACATGACTCGAAATAAAGAGGCAAAATTAATTCGAGAACAATGTATTGCTTGCAATCTCGAAGGTCGTAGAGTCAAAACTCAGTTTTGGTCAAAATTAACAATCAGTAGAAGCAGTCAATCTACTCGATTTTTAAATAAATTAATTAAATTACAGCTTATCAGATTTATTATTTTATATTCACTCAAGATACCCTTGACATGATAGTTATATGAGGCTAGTAAACTATGAACTGAAGTCGATAGGATTACTATGTTCAAGTAATTCTTTAACTTTAATAGAAAATATGAATTAAACCTACTGTCGTAAACGTTGTCAGAATAAGTTCTTATCACTTATAATTGTATGGATTACAATGAAAACTAAAGAACACAAGGGATATAGTAGATGAAAACAAGTATTTACAGTACAAAGCGCAATAGAAGGTTCGCCTTACCAATATGGTCCATTTCTGATGTACTATGAGGATTTGACTGGCTATGCACTGCATTCGTTACTACTGACACGCTTTAGCTCCGTGAGTATTAACTTATAAGCAGGTAAACACTGTGTAATCATTAAAAAAGATAGGATATTTTTGTTAAATCATCAATGTAACACTAAATAGATAAAGAACTCCGCCGATTATTCGTGCATTGACCTCCTTTATCCTCTTGAGACAAGTTTAATAGTGCAATTGTTTTTCGTTCTTTGTTAAAGGAATTAGAGTCTCATAAGAAATTCATAATTTAATAAACGAATATCAAAATTTGCAAAAATTTATTCATTTCAAATTGCAGGCGCTTTGATAGTTATTATTAGCCCTTTAGCTGACTTCAGGCTTCACATAGGGGAGGAACATCAAAGTGGGTAAATTTCGAGATAGGGAACGGAAGAGTGATTTAAAGATGTAAAAGAGACAAACTAAAGGTAGAAAAAATGTGAGGTGAGTACTGTGAAGTGGTCGAATATGACATACAGTGGCTTCATAGTAGTTTGTAGCGGATTGCTACCTTAGTAAAGCCTGACTGACTCAGAAATCTCTATGGCAAATTCTCCAACATCTAGCTAGACTCCCAGAACCAGCTAAGCTATAGCCCGGCTATGAAGGAAACAGA